ACACCCTGCCAGGGTTCATCTGGAGGGGAGATTAAAGCTGCTTCCTTGCACTAAAACCTTCCAGATGGGGCTCCATTTAAGGGAAAATCGATCTTGGGCTCTAACAGGCGAAACCCAGCATCCTATTAGCAAGGATGTTTAGTTAAACTTTGTTGGCTACTCAGATGCGCGTGGCAGGGTGAGAGCGGCAGAAAGCAAACAGAGAAAGCACGCCCAGCCTTTCTGTGTGGCTTGACAGATTGGAATCAATCAGCACGGGATCAATCAATCAGATTGGAATCGATCAGCAGGGAAGACAGCTGTTGCTGATGATGGGCTTATGGGTCCATTTATGGGATGGGGGGGGGATGGCTTGCCCTGGCAAAGGATGATGATCTGCAGAAAAAACACTTGTTTATTCTGGTCAGCCCTAACCGTAACCTTAGCCATTTGTATATAAAAAGAGACCAAACCCCACTCTCTTCTAGCATTGATGATGTTACCTAGGTGATGTTGAAAGAAAAGTCTTCATCATGGTCCAGTCCAAGCCGGGGTTAGACAACATGGTGACTGCTTTAGAAAGAAGGTTGCAGTTTATTGAAGAGCCAGACAGAAAGATGGTTCTGGCAGGAAAGAGGAGAGAAAAAAGGGGTGAACACATGTAAGGAGTGGGTTTTTATACCCTCTGGAGCCTTTTGTTTGGAGTCGTTCCTGTGGCATGAACTTTGACCTGAGTGTGCCTTTCTGGTATTCTGATGGTGATGGGTTAATCCTATTATGTCCAAAGGTCATATTCTGCTTCCCTGGGGCTGGGACTGATGACTCTTGAGTTTGAATGGGGTATGTAGATTTTAGGTCTTTGTTTTCTTAATCTCCTACTCCCTGGATTTACATCTGCATCTCTATAGAGCTGGTTTTTGCTTGGGGGAAGGAGACTGGGGGCTACTAAGAAAAACTGGGCATGCTTTCCTGCATGTTTAAGATCCTTTGAGGAAATATATTTTTCTGCCCTTTTAATATTTCCTTCTCTGGGGGGGATGACTTCCCACAATTGGTAATGAACCGTCTGCAAGAAAACAACCAACCTCAGAGAGCACCAAGGACCTCATAGTCATCCTCCTCCTCTTCCTGCTCCTTCTCCTCCTGCTCCTCCGTTTTATTAAAAGTCAAAAGTTCATCGACTAACATGGCTATCAACCTACAACTTTTTCTAATTATTGATAGTCAGTTTGGTCTAGTGGTTAAGGCACCAGGCTAGAAACTGGGAGATGGCGAGTTCTAGTCCTGCCTTAGCAGTGGAGGGATTCAAACATGTGAACAACTGGTTCTCAATGTGAATGCGGCTTCCGGAAGTTCATTCTGGGCCTGGGCAAAAAAAAAAATTAGCTACTGGTTCTTTCAAACTGGTGCAAACGGCCTGAATCCCACTACTGTGCCTTAGGCACGGAAGTCAACTGGGTGACTTTGGCCCAATCACCAGGAGACTGTGAGTTCTAGTCTCACCTTATGCATGAAAGCTGACTGGGTGACTTTAGGCCCATCACCAGGAGACAGGGAGTTCTAGTCCCATCTTAGACAGGAAAGATGACTGGTTGACTTTGGACCAATCACCAGGAGATGGTGAGTTCTAGTCCCACCTTAGGAATGAAAGCTGGCTGGGTGACTTTGGACTAATCACCAGGAGACGGTGAGTTCTAGTCCCACCTTAGGCCGGAAAGATGGCTGGTTGTCTTTGGCCCAATCACCAGGAGACAGTGAGTTCTAGTCCCACCTTAGGCACGGAAGTCAACTGGGTGACTTTGGCCCAATCACCAGGAGACTGTGAGTTCTAGTCCCACCTTATGCATGAAAGCTGACTGGATGACTTTAGGCCCATCACCAGGAGACAGGGAGTTCTAGTCCCATCTTAGGCAGGAAAGATGGCTGGTCGACTTTGGACTAATCACCAGGAGACTGTGAGTTCTAGTCCTGCCTTAGGCAGAAAAGCCGGCTGGGTGACTTTGCACCAATCACCAAGAGACTGTGAGTTCTAGTCCCACCTTAGGCAGGAAAGATGGCTGGTTGACTTTGGACCAATCACCAGGAGATGGTGAGTTCTAGTCCCATCTTAGGCATGAAAGCCAGCTGGGTGACTTTGCACCAATCACCAGGAGACTGTGAGTTCTAGTCCCACCTTAGACAGGAAAACAGGCTGGTGTTTCTGGGTCAGTCACTCTCTATCAGCCCAACTGCCCTCACAGGGTTGTTGTTGTAGGTAAAATAAGAGGTGGTGGCACTATTAAGTATGCTCACCACCTTGAGTTACTTATAAAAAAGAATAAAGGCCAGACAAAAAATAAATAAATTACCAACGAAATCATGTTGAAGACACCACACTCTTCTTGACTTCTAAAGCTCAGCTTTGTCTCACCTGTTAAGAGGTAAAGGGAAGGTAAGGGCTGCTATAAGACCTCCTCCCCCAAAAAATCAGGCATTGCAGTGAATGTGGGAAGTTCACGGTTTGTACAATGCAGCAAGGCATAAACTCACAAAAATTAAAACGGGCTTTTGCAAAAGGCTACGCCTCTCCCAAAACAAACTCCCTTTCCAGCGACTCCTAACCAAGAAGACTAGATTCCCACAAAGCCTCATTAACCAGAAATCAAAGGTAAATCAAAGTTAGGTTACAGAAACTTGCAAACTGGCTATGTAGACTTTCGCATCCATTGATCAGCTCAGGTGGGAGATGCTTTGATCTAGCTGACTGTCTGTTGCTGCAAGGGATTGTGCTCCCCAGTGTGCTGGCATATGAAGAACGTGGAGACGTTTTTGGTCCTGGAATATTTTGCAGACCACTATCAAATTTCCCATGCCCCAAAGATTAAATCAAAGCAAGCTTAGCATAGGGTGCTACTGCAGATGCAACAAGCGTTGGGGAAAGTGCAGAGAAGAGCAACTAAGATGATCCAAGGCCTGGAGACTAAAACATATGAAGAACAGCTGCAAGACTTGGGTTTAGCTAGTCTAAAGAAAAGAAGAAACAGGGGCGACATGATAGCAATATTCCAGTATTGAGGGGCTGCCACAAAGAAGAGGGGGTCACATTATTCTCTAAAGCACCAGAAGGAAAGACAAGAAACAATGGTTGGAAACTGACCAAAGAGAAAAGCAACCAGGAATTAAGGAGAAACTTCCTAACAGTGAGGACAATTAACCAGTGGAACAGAAGTTGCCTCCAAAAATTGTGGGTGCTCCATTCACTGGTGGTTTTTAAGAAGAGACTGGACAATCACTATCAAGTGCCGAGGTGGCGCAGCAGTTAGAGTGCAGTACTGCAGGCCACTTTAGCTGACTGTGTTCAGCAGGTCAGCGGTTCAAATCTCACCGGCTCAAGGTTGACTCAGCCTTCCATCCTTCCGGGGTAGGTAAAATGAGGACCCAGATTGTTGGGGGCAATGTAAATATATATATACATTGCTTACTGGTGTACACCGCTTAGAGAGTGCTCGCATTTAAAGCGGTATATAAGTCTCATAAATAAATAAATAAATGGTATAGGTTCTACTGCTTGAGCAGGAGGCTGGACTAGAAGACCTCCAAGGTCCCTTCCAGCTCTATTCTGATTGATTGATTGCATGTTACAGGATATTGAGACACAACAGTTTAAGGACTCACAGCTAGAAGGAGTCCCAGAAATTGCTGGTCAAGGTAGATAGAAAGCTTGGTTTGGGGTGTGCTGTAGATTTAAAAAAATCAAAAGGAAACCTTATGGAGATATGAATCCATGCCACCTTGTTCTACTCGACGCAAGCGTATATTAGACTCTTCTTCAGGTCTTTTAACACTACGGATGGTATATCTGTGTTCCAGGTTGTGTGTAGTGCACATTGTGGGTGGTATGATGTACATGGCAGCGGGGGTGGTACCGATGTGAGATTGTCCAACAGTTCTGCTTATTGCAGCTCTTCATGACGATCTACAGGCAAGGTCAGGTGTACATCTGTGCTAGAGAAAGTGTATTTGTGGAGATAGAGTTGGCTTGTATGGCCTTGCTTGAAAAACACCTTCAAAAGGAAGAAGATAGCTTGTGTCATAAGCCCTTAGCAGAGAAGGGAGGGGAGTGTGTTACACAAGCAGGTGTGACCTTGGTCTGTGAGCAGAAGCTCCATACGGTCTTAATATCTATACTAAGTAGCTGTCTTCTAGTATTTGAGGGGCTGTCACAGAAAAGAAGGGAATGTCTATGGCAGCGTGCCTGGCTGAGGAATTCTGGGATTTGAAGTCCACAAGTCATCAAAGGGCCAAGTTTGAAGACCCCTGGTCTATGGAGATCCTCTGTCTTCCAGCTCTGACTGGATGGTGGGGAAGGGCAGGATTTATACTCCTTGCAGACAGCTGGTCATTTGCATTCTTTTAGAGAGTCGTTGAGGCCACTTGGAGGTTTACCTGTGTCCTCAGGAACCATTTGTGCTTCAGTTTGAGATGCAGACAATACAGGCTCATCCCTTGCAGCCTGCACCTGTCTTCAACAGTGAAGGGATACAGAACAGAAAACATCCTACAGTCAAGAAGGCTCCACACACAGTTGCACTACTCAGGTGACCCACAGGTCAACCTCTAAGTGTATGACTTCCAAGTTTCCTCATAATTTATCCTGGTCTTTTTAAACTTCCTCCCTAGCAATGCAAGGCAGCTGATCTCTGTGTCTAAGGGTTGAGCTTGAAGACCTTCAAGGTCTTTCTTTCCCACCCCATGATTCTATGTTCTAGTGGTATCTTTTAGATCAGGCATGTCAAACTGCCGGCCCACGGGCTGGGTGCGTCACGCCGAAACCACACCCACCCCATTACCGGCAATGGGGAAAAAGTCACGATACGTCGTGCGCCGTCACATGACGTCACGAGTTTGACATGCCTGTTTCAGATGTTCTTACAAGGCAGATCAGGGCCTCACTGCCTTTCGCCATGCTGCATTCTGCAAATTCCTGAAATCTATGGTTTCTCTTCTCTCTGTAGGGTTGCTTGTCCGAGCCACAAGGAATAACCTGAATCCCGACGTGAGAAGGCTGGATTCATCTGCCACTGAACTGGGGGCCGGTTCTCTCTCTCCCTCTTTCTCCTGTTATGTCCAAGATCTGCACTTTGCCTGGCAATTGCTTTGAGTTCCAAAGGACCAGGGGACTAGGATGAGGAGGAGCAATAGATATTCCTTGAACCTGCTTTGGTTGTTGCCACCGTTCTTAGTGTGGACCGTGGTGGCCCTTGACTTGGGACCTTCGCCCTGCACCACCTTGGTCCAGGGCAAGTTTTTTGGATACTTCTCCTCTTTTGCCGTCTTCCCGTTGAACGCTTCCCGCTGCAATTGGATTATCCAGAACCCCGATCCTAGGAGATACACGTTGTACATGAAGGTTTTGAAGCCCTCGGGTCTCTGCGACCATCAGCAGATACACACGTACCAATTTGACTCCTTCTTGGAGTCTACACGGACGTACCTGGGCATGGAGAGCTTTGACGACGTGTTGAACCTTTGCGATGGCTCTACCCGCTACGCCTTCCTCCAGTCAAACAAGCAGTTCCTCCAGATGAAGCAGACTCTGTCCAAAGTGGATAGCGGGTGGATCAGGTGGAAACCGGCCAAGGTTCAGGAAAGAGACTTCTCGGTTGAGTATCTTGTGGTTGGCAACAGAAGCCCTAGCAAAGCCGCTTGCCAGATGCTGTGCAAATGGCTGGATACTTGCTTGACCACCAGCAGCAGCTCACACCCTTGTGGCATCATGCAGACACCGTGCTCTTGTTTCACTGGAGAGGTGCTGGATCAACCCAGTGAGATCTTTGGCTTAACCAAAAAGCAGGACAATTGTTTTAAGGATGGGATTTACCTGGAGAATTGCATGAGTTCCACCAAGGACACCACTGGGCTGGATTTCTTGGGTAAGTAAAGTGGTTGATGCTTTGATCAAAGGACCCCACAGAATGTTTGCTTAAATGGGTGATGTGATGCGATTTCTTTTCTTTTCAGCTGTTAGGGTGGCCTTCACGAATGATTTTATCGTCCAAGTTAATTTGCTTTGATTTATGACCAGCAGCACAGATCTATCTTGACTTGACTTTGAAAGGAACTGATGAATATACAAGTAGTCCTCCACTTATAACCATTCCTTTAGTGGCTGTTTGAAGTTACAATGGCCCTGAGCAAAAGTGACTTGCAACTCTTCCTCACACTAGCCAGCATCACAGCATCCCCGCGACTATGGGGTCAAAATTTGGGTGCTTGGCACACAGCATGTGTGTCAAGGTTCCGATTGATGATCCCAAAGAAATAAGCACAGCTGAGAACTTCCAGACTCTAATGCAACACTTTATTGAGCACACCATATCGGCACAGATGACTGGAAAACCAGTTCTGGTTAAATTGGCGCCAGAACAGCAAATTAAAAGCATAGAAACTCCCCTTCTCCCTGACAATGCAAGTCACATCCCCCAGTTAAGCATCAGACGATTGTTATGAGCGAAATCTTCCATTACATAGTAAATAATCTGAAGGGCTTGATTCCCAGACTTCACAACTCATTCCTGCAAATGCACATTCTGTTCAATAACCAGTGGAACAACCTGCCTCCAGAACCTGTGAATGCTCCAACACTGGAAGTTTTTAAGAAGGGACTGGACAGCCATTTGTCTGGAATGGTACAGGGTTTCCTGCCTGAGCAGGGGGTTGGGCTAGATGACCTCTAAGGTCCCTTCCAACTATTATTATTATTATTACTACTACTACTACTATTACTACTACTACTACTACTACTACTACTATAATTATAATTATTATTACTATTATTACTATTATTATTATGATGATGATTATGATGATTATTATTATTGATCATTGCACAGTCAGCCAGATGTTCAGATTGGATTTGGCATTTTTGTCTACCTATTGAGTCCTTCCCAAGGATCTGGGATAGGCAGATGTGGATGTTTGATGTTATTACAGATATCGTCGCAGGATAGAAGCGGTTCCTAGTAAGGCCGCCTTTTGCAATTGACTAATGGTGAATTTGTCAATGCTGATGATGGTGTTCAAGTGGTGCTCCAGTTGTTTTGGGATTGCACCCAAGGCTCCTGTTACTATTGGTACTACCCTTGCTTGCCTTTGCCACAGTCTTTCTATTTCTGTTTGTAGGTCTTTGTATTTTGTTATCTTCTCCAGTTCTTTCTCGTCTATTCTGCTGTCTCCAGGCACTGCCACATCCACTATTTGTCTTTCTTATCGACAATTGTTAAGTCTGGGGTGTTATGTTGCAGGGGCTTGTCTGTTTGAATTCTGAAGTCTCAGAGCAGTGTAATTTTATCATTTTCTATGACTTTCTCTATTTTATGATCCCACCAGTTCTTGCTTACAGACAAATGATATTTCTTGCAGATCTTCCAATGCACCATTGTTGCTACTTTGTCATGCTGCTGCTTGTAGTCAGTCTGTGCGATCTTCTTGCAGCAGCTTTATTGTTGTTGTTGTTGTTGTTGTTGTTGTTGTTGTTATTATTATTATTATTATTATTATTATTATTATCCCCCTCCCCTCCCTGGGTCTGTAGGTAAGCCAAGAAACAGAAATGGCCAAAACATTTTAGTTTCTTGGAAGCTTTCTTTCACAATATGATAATTGTAGTGTTCCGAGGTCATGTGATCCCCAACCTGTCCAACTCTGTTTATTTTAATCTACTCTACTCTACTCTACTCTACTCTACTCTACTCCACTCCACTCCACTCCACTCCACTCCACTCCATTCCATTGCATTTCATTCCATTCCCTTCCCTTCCATTTCATGTTTTCTATTCCATTCCTTTCCATTCCATTCCATATTTTCTATTCTATTCCATTCCATATTTTCCATCCCATCCCAAAGCTCCCTTAACACTTTGTTCTGATTAATGGAAGCTTCACTGGTTGTCTACATAGCTTTAATGATACAATGTGACTCACATGCAAACATTCAGATTTGCAACTGGTAGGTGGACAAGACTTGGCTTCAAAATCCCTCTTTTCCTGTTTGCTTCTTCCTATCCAAAAGGAAATTCTCCTTCCAAAAAGAAAGCTGGAATTTCTCCCTCCTATCCCCACATCCATAAAATTATGGTGGACTTGCCAGCCTAATGTTGCTTCAAGAGTTGTTTTTATGCCTATTCCTTTTGAAAAAGAATCATACAACTCCTCGGCAATTTTAAGTTGTACTAACATTTTTCTGAATGTAAAATGAAAATCAAGAGACTAGGAAAAGAGGGAAAGAGAAAAACAAGGAGGAGAGAAGTGAACTTTTGCCCGACGCTCCTGAGAACAGGACAAGAAATAAGATGGAAAGTTATCAAGGAGAGATCCAACCTAAATTAAGGAGACACTTCCTAACAGTCAGGACAATTAACCAGTGGAATAGCTTGCCACCAGAAGTTGTGGGTGCTCCATCACTGGAGGTAGCTGTATCCTGTATTCCAGTATCTGCCCCAAAGAAGAGGGGGTGAAATTATTCTCCAAAGCATCTGAAGACAGGACAAGAAACAATGGTTGAAAAATGACCAAAGAGAGAAGCAACCTGGAATTAAGGAGAAACTTCCTTACAGTGAGGACAATCAGCCAGTGGAACAGAAGTTGCTTTCAGAAATCGTGGACGTTCCATCACTGGAAGTTTTCAAGAAGAGACTAGACAGTCACTTGTCTGAGATGGTATAGGTTCTCCTGCTTGAGCAGGGGGCTGGATTAGAAGACCTCCAAGAAGCTCTGCTCTGATTGATTGATCTTTCATCTTTGGTTTGGATCTGGGTGGGTGTTTGGATTCAACTCCGACTCATGGAGCTGCAGGTGTCTCCAAAGATGGAGGCCCAAGGAGGCCGTGTTTTTCTTTCCACATGACCTTGCCTCGTCTTTCTCTGGCTGTCTTCTCTGGGTCTGAAAGCAGATAGTGGAAACCAAAGGCAGGCGGTTGAGATCTCTGCAGAGCATCAATAAAACAAGCTAATATCCCAACCTGGTGCACCCACAGCAGGAACCCTGGAAGCCAACGAGATTGTCTTAGCAGATGCCCATGTTGCGCTCATCAATTCTGCATGCGATTTGCATGACTCACGCTGAGCATCGGAAGGGAAAGATAAATCCTCGCCTCTTCGCCCTGGAAGCAGAGAAGCCATAATAGTTCCTGCGGAGTCCGAGGAAATCATCATTTGCTGGATGTAAGGGATCTCAGTTTTGATCTCCTCCGAATTTCTGGAGCTATCCTCTTCCCGTTGCATTTTTGAACAGCCGATTGAAGGACATTGTCTCCTTCACATCCAGTTTTGGTCGCCATGATATAAACAAGATGCTGAGACTCCAGAAAGAGTGCAGAGAAGAGCAACAAAGATGATTAGGGGACTGGAGGCTAAAGCATATAAGGAACGGTGGCAGGAATTGGGTATGTCTAGTCTAATGAAGAGAAGGACGAGGGGGGACATGATAGCAGTGTTCCAGTATCTCAGGGGCTGCCCCAAAGAAGAGGGAGTCAAGCTATTCTCCAAAACCCCTGAAGGGAGGGCAAGAAGCAATGGATGGAGGGAAGTTAACCAAGGAGAGAAGCAACCTAGAATATAAGGAGAAATTTCCTGACAGGTGGAACAATTGACCAGTGGAAGAATCTGCCTCCAGAAGCGGTGAATGCTCCAACACCGGAAGTTTTTAAGAAGAGTTTGGACAACCATTTTTCTGAAATGGTATAGGGTTTCCTGCCTGAACAGAGGGTTGGACTAGAAGATCTCCAAGGTCCCTTCCAACTCTGTTATTCTGTATTCTGTAGCTTCTAAGGGCTGCCCTACCAAGACTGTGTTGCAGTAGTCCAGTGAAAAGAAGAAGGGTGACATGATAGCAGTCTTCCAATATCTCAGGGGCTGCCCCAAAGAAGAGGGAGTCAAGCTATTCTCCAAAGCATCAGAAATAAGACAAGAAGCAACGGATGGAAACTAATTAAGGAGAGAAGCAACCTGGAACTAAGGAGAAACTTCCTGACGGGGGGGTTGGACTAGAAGACCTCCAAGGTCCCTTCCAGCTCTATTCTGAATTGAAAAAAAATGGCTGGGTGGAAATTGTACATCTCTATTTTGGTTCAACCTTGTTCAAATCACCCCACCCTCCATTCCAACAGTCGAACAAGATGCAGTTGAGTGATGAGAAAAGTAAGGTTTCATAGTTAGACAAATGCACAGGTACCTGGCTCAACAGTGGTGCCTGTGAGAAGGATCTATGTGTCCTGGTGGACCAGCACTTAAATATTGAGCCAGTAGTATGTTGCAGCTGCCAGAAAAGCCAGTGCAGTCCTGCCTCAACAGAACAGTCACGAGAGGTGATAGTACCGCTTTACAAAGCCTTAGTAAGGACACACCTGGAATACTGCAGCCATTTTTGATCACCATATCACAAAAAAAGATGTTGAGAGTTTGGAAAAAATTCAGAGAAGAGCAACAAACTCCTCCTCCTCATCTTTGCAAACCCCATTCCCTTCTAGCACTGATGATGTTACCTATTTGGATAATGAAACGTCTGCAAGAAAATCACCAAGCTCAGAAAGCACCAAGAACCCCACAGTCTTCTTCTTCTTCTTCTTCTTCTTCTTCTTCTTCTTCTTCTTCTTCTTCTTCTTCTTCTTCTTCTTCTTCTTCTTCTTCTTCTTCTTCTTCTTCTTCTTCTTCTTCTTCTTCTTCTTCTTCTTCTTCTTCTTCTTCTTCTTCTTCTTCTTCTTCTTCTCCTCCTCCTCCTCCTCCTCCTCCTCCTCCTCCTCCTCCTCCTCCTCTTCTTCCTTCTCCTCCTCCTTCTTCTCCTTCTCCTCCTCCTCCTCCTCATCATCATCATCTTTGCAAACCCCATTCCCTTCTAGCACCGATGATGTTACCTATTTGGATAATGAAATGTCTGC